GGTCGAATTCTTAATGATTGCCATCAATGAAATGGTCAATACAAAATTCCATTCAGATAGTGCTGTGCATTCCTATACTGGTCTGAGTTTCAGTGCGATACAATACAAATACGGGGAAAGTCAGTGATCCGGAAGAAAGGGGGACAACGAGAGTGTGTGCGCGCATTTTGTTCATATGGCTTTTCTCGATACCAACCATCTTGTGAGTCGTTGTATTATCATTGCCCAACCGAACTGCGATGATCGAAGAGACTTCGAGTGGAATATGACAACAATGAATTGGGCATTTGGGAATATAGCATAACCGGCGTTACAGTTCGACCGAGACAGGACCCCAGAGTAGATGATAATATTATGAGAACTATTATTAATTCTGAAACTGTTTATATCGATGCGTTCAGCATCCATAAAATTATCGTTAACCTCAAGTTTGAGTTGGCAGTTTGCTCGTTCGGTGACGAGACAAACGAACTGTTCTGTGCAAGACTACTTTTCACGATTTGACCATAACTTTAGGCTATTCACCTATGTAATGATGCCAGCCCAAAATCATAAATCACGTTTTGCTCTATTTCTGAACAATTCCGATGACGAACTACATCGTCATATACATTCTCACAACCGTATGAAGATTGACTCACGTATGTAGGTTAACGTTGGAAAGAATTGATGAATAATAATATGAACAGTCTCTGTCAGGGAAAACCCTTCAATTGAATCGCTTTTAACAGATATATGAAGGGTGCTAGTGTTTCATCCAGTCTCTTCTGGGCGAGCAGAAAATGAGACAGGGTAACGAATCACAAGTGTGAACTGACGATAAAGGAATCGCTTTGCACTACTTTGTCTCTCAGGCAGTGTGAGTAACCAATGCCATTGGGAGGTTGGGTCTGCAAAACTTGATACCCTAAAATCAAGCGTTATCTAAATCGGCGGTGGAGTATTACTCCGCATTTCCGACACGCATTCGCCTCCGGAAGCCTCAGTATGGTTGGTTGGGGGTGTCTATGGTTGCGGTTGGTCACCCTTCCCTCGAACTTCGCGAAATACTCCCATTAGACCAAGTAACTCGAATAGCCTCTGCTGAGGAATTCCTACTCACTGCCTTTTCGTCGCGTGGGTGTTTACCACCAAAGTGAGAGGACGAAAAGCCATAATACAGAAGGCCAACGAGTGGTCTGTTGTGCGTGAAACAGTATCTCTATCAACCAATCTTTCGGGAATCCGGACGTTTTAGTCACCTGCTAAGACAGTTTCCCTTAAGGTCACATCGATTGCTAAGCCATCTGGTGACTTAGTGCCCGACCGGCTTGAAAGGCCAAACTGTTTACCTCTCATTATGCCTCCAGTTCTATCCGACTTGGATCATCCATTCAACTCTATCCATATCCTACAGCGAGCTATCTTTTCATACAACTGAATTCCGTTAGAATGATACTGCAGATCCTCTTATCAATGACCCAATACAGGCCAATCAAACCCGACGGGATTCCTTCTATCGTCCTCAAAATATGCACCCCAGAACTGGTCCCCTTCTACACCACTTATTCTATCTATCCCTCGATTCCGGATTGTTACCAACACCACGGAGATTAACAGAGGCAGTTTCCACTACCAAACGCGACGACTATTCAGACCCAAATAACTATCGCCTCGTCTATTTCACATCAGTTATTTTGAAAGTTATGAAATCGATCATTGTTATTCAATTCCGGAGCAGAACAAGATGCTTAGCAACCGTCAGTACGGTTTCCGGTCCCATCGATAAACCGGTGATTTTCTGGCGCTCATTTCGCTTACATAGCAGCAATTGAGAACCACGGAGAAGACCCTTTGGTGTCATTGGATATATCGAAAGCTTTCGATCGTATCTGGCACGTAGGTTGGCTGGCTAACATAAGAAAGTTTGGCTTACCTTCGGAACTTGTGTTCTGGGCAGCAGGCTATCTCAAAGGCCGTCGCACCTCCGTTCGAGTAGATGGGACAACGTCTCGTTCCGTGTCTTTGAATGCTGGTCTCCCCCTAAGGATCTGTACTTTCCTCTTCTTTTCTACTGATGCTCGTGGATGATCTACTTCCTTCTACTTCAAATCCTATTACTACCTCTGCCAATCACACTATACCACACTCCTCATTGTCCTATTCCTCTTTTTCTGCCTCGGAGTTGTCGCCACCATGTTCGCGTTAGTGCCCAGAACCTTTCTCCACTCCATTTTAATATGAACCTTCTCCGTTACCCAGATACGTGCAACCTATTGTAACTTTCCTCATCTTCTTCTCTGTTATTATCACGATATATTCATCTGCTTGCCTCCCATGCTACGCTCAAAGACCACTTCCTCCTCCGCCATTCACCCTCTCGCTTTACAAAGCCCAGATTCGCTCTAAATTCGAATACTGCAGTCATGAGTGGAGTGGAGCTTCGTCCACCTTTTTATCTCTTCTTCCTCAGGTTCAACATGAGGCTATTCGTTTCGTCAACGACCCGTCCCTAAAATGCAGCTAGCATTCACTAGCTCATGAGCGAGTATTTGCTTCCCTAACCCCTTATTCTATAGATACTACATTGCTCTGCAAGAATTTCCGCTTCTATCCCTCTCCCGGTTGTCCTTCATCATAGGTTTCGAACACAAGCGGCTAGCCATCCATTTCAAGTGGCTATCTCCAAGTGTCGCACTTCATTTCCTTTTCCCAAGAACAGCACTACCGCGGAACGCCTCTTTCACTCCACCCACAAGCGTTTGGCAATCTTCACTTTAAATGCAAAACGAACAAGCTGATTCAAGCTTGAATGTTCCGTCTTACCTTCTCACGTACACCATACCTATGAATTACTGTATTTATTAACGTGTATTAAAAAAACTATTTCAAACTCTTCATATAGATGCGATAGCCTGTGTGGACAGGCCGTTCGGATGAAGCACAGTCAGTAGCTCTGTGCTTTAGCGTCGCAGTTTTGCTTCGAAGATTTCGCTAGTTCGCCTTATCATGAAGTTATCTAGCAAAGTACGCAAGTTAGTACGCTCCCATCATTATTACCCTGGAGCACGTAGATGATCGTAAAGGAAAAGTGATCTTTCAAAAAGGTTTGTTTCGCTAGGATTCTGGTAGCGAAAATCCTCGTCACTTAGGCGGCGCCAGTTTCTCAAATTGACGAATTATAATGTTGACCAGTGACCGGTTCATATTGCGGAAAAACCAAAATTCACCACAGTATCTAACTGATGCATTACTGATGAACAAAGCGAACAAGTTTTTGTAAAGACATACGGTTGATGGATTGATACTAAGTACGCGATTTGGGAACGAATTTCTCGTCATGGACAGGAACCATAGGCGAGGACACTGAACAAAAAGTGCATACTGTTGGTGGTGGTGACGGCGACGGCCGTGATGGGATTTTCACAAGCGAGGTCACAGAAACAGTGTGCATAAGTGTAAGTGGATTATTGAACCTAACAGCCGTTGAACGACGCTCGAACTGACAGATCAAGCACAGTGAGCGGATGCTCAGAAGTTAGGAAGAGATACAGAACAGCCGAAACATTTTATATCTCCGCACCTAAAGCGATTTTTTCACACATATAAGTATAAAGGTGGTCAGAATTGCATCAATCAATTCCTGTATCCTTCAGTAAAATAAAGAAGTAATCTGCTTCGCCTTTTTCTCAACGGTGATCAATATGCATCACCCCGATTTCCATTCGAGTCGTAATGGATTACTGTTTTTTTTTAGTAGTTCCGTGTATTATAAGGTTTCCAAAGAGTTTTATTGGTCGTGGATAGATACTCTGAGCATCGGTCCGTACACATTCATCGCGCGTGAGAGAGAAAAGGAAATGGGAATAAACGTTTCGAGAGAACATGTGTTTGGTGCATTTATGTTGGACTCTACTTCTTGGAGCACGACATATAAACACTGAAGATATTCGAACTGACTGTCAGAGTTCAGAAGGAGACACCGTACAGCTGTTTTGACCTAGTTGAGTTTCATCAGCAGTGCGATTCCATCGACCCAACTGGGGATCGAACCCGGGACTACACGGGTAGAATGCAAGTATACCACCAACTTGGCCACCAGGCAGCTGACCAAACCGCTTTTTATTCCCCTTATTCACCACATAGCACATAGCGAGCTTAATGCAGGCATCACAACTTGCTCGCCACAACATCAGCCTCTAGTGATGTGACTTGGGTGAGAACATTTCAAGCTGATTACATGTTGCATGACAATGATCGACGATTTGGTTTGATCATATGGGAAATGTCGTCATGAAAAGAGTATATGAAGCATGAACTGAAAAGCTGACAGCCGTTTCCACTTGCTTGTTCTATACAGTACATAAAATGGAAACCAATTTGATCAGCTGCCCAGCAGCTAAGTGGGTAATATAATATGCTTGCGTTTTTCCTGTGAGGGCGAAGGCTCGATTTCCAGTTGGGTCGAGTGATTCGCATTGCTGATGAGACCCAACCAGGTCGAAACAGCTATCTGTTTAACTTTTCAGCTAACGCTTCGTTTGCTTCTTACATGACAAAGTTCACCAAATGATCAAACCGAATTCTCCATCACTCTCATGGAATGCCGGAACGCTGCAGAGCATCAGACTTTTAATCTGCAGGTCCAAGGTTCGAGCCACTACTGGGGCACGTTATTTTTGGGCGATGTTGGCAAAGTGGTTAGGTTACCAAATTGTGACCGGGTTCGAACCGAACCACCACCGCCCATCTTCCCTACTTCTTTTAGGCGGCCTTTGTATGGCCAAAGCCCTCTTCCTGAAAGTTGACTGTACATCTGTATATTCGATAAATCGAAACGGAAGTAAAAAGACATTAGAGATTTAAGAAAAAATTGGCAGGAAGCGTAACTTTATTACAGCCGTCCACATTATACAATATGAGTGACAGAACGGCACAGAAGGATGAAGGTGAAAGTGGCAAAGAATCAAACATGATTCAGACAACTAGAAAAGTCAACTATAACGCCGGACAGTGTGAAAATAATCCTAACCAAAGAGAAGAAAACAAGCAAGGTTGCTTGTCGCAAAGATAGTAAAGCTTAACGACTGTATTTTATTTCGTTAGTACGCACCAATCTCATTCTAAGCTTTCATCTTTCTTTGCCCATAGAAGGTCGTGTACGGTTTACTTTGGTCTGTAGTTTGGTAGACTACCACAGGGTTTGGTTCTTCTCAATTTCAATATACATTAAAGAACGTTTTTATGTTGATATGATTAGTTTAGATAGAGCCCTTTTGGCTATATAATTTTCCCGACAATCCTACTCTACCACCACCAACAACTGTCATTGTAGGTGTATTCTTAGAGTGGAACAAGTTGGTTCGATTGGGCGTGCAGACACACACACACACTAAACAACACAAGTGAACAACACAAAATTTTAGATTTCCCCGAGGAACAATAACCGCCAATTTCATGCTTTTCCAAACGACCACAAATTGTTGACAAGCATGGCGCTTAAAAATAATCTGAGGATAGTTAACTTGTTCAATGTCGTCAGACTGGCGTCAAATTAAAAAAAAGAAAGGAAGCATGATTGACATTGACTGATCTCATGTAATTTGACAAAACAAACTAGTCAGGACACGAGAGATACACACACACAAACAGAGGACGGGGAACGTAGAAATCAATACATGTTCGGCACCAAAACCCAATAATAAAAGATAGAACATCGGTAGGATCAAACTGGAAAGGAAATATTTTACTAATATTATCAATGGTTATAATCATAATGGCATCCTATTTCTCCGACAAAGAGATTATCTTTCTCCCAGATACGATCAATCACAAACGAAATCTGAGACTCAAAACGAGAAAGTGGGGCGTACCTTTGAATGGCGGACAAGTGTTTAACAAATTCCGATTGAGATGCAAACAAATATCCGCCTGTAGACATTCGGGAAAAGAGCGCAAAACCAAATTCATATCGATCC